AAAAAAAAAAAAAAAAAAAAGGAAAAACTGAAGTGGGAGAAAAGAGCAGCCCAGACAGCTGAGAGCTCCCAAGTTCTCTCTAAATTCTAGGGTGGGATCCTGCGAAGGTCTAAGCAAGCACTGTAAGTGCTGGTTGCACACCTGGGAGGAGCTGGCAATGTCTCTAATGCTTAGGACTCTGAAAGCAGTTGTATGTATATTCCTGTAATTTTTAAATGTTTTAGCGAAATACAGAAAAATTCTTTTCCATGATTATTATATAGACAAACTTTTAAGAACCTTTGAACACTAAGGCAATTCCTAAAGAAAACATTCTCAGTCAAAACCAAATTTATTTAATAGTTGTCAGTCATTATTATATACATTTTTTAAGTTTGAAAATGTTGCAAGTTATACATAAACAATATTAAGCAGGTGTAGCAATCAGTATACAAGGGCTCAATAGAAGAGTTCATCTAAGCTAGCTATACATTAGATGAAAGCCTAAGGTCCGGAATATGCAAAGACCTCAAGAAACCAAACTCTCCAAGAACCAACAATCCAGTTAATAAGTGGGCAGACAAGCTAAACAGAGATGTCTCAGAAGGAGTAGAAATGTACAACAGACACAGGGAAAACTGTTAAACACTTCTGACCATAAAGGAAATGCAACTGAAAACAACACTGAGAGTCCACCTCACCCCAATTAGAAGGGCCATCATCAAGAATACAGACAACAACAGATGCTGATGTGGATGTGGAACTAGATGAACCCTAATAAACTACTGATAAGAATATAAACTTGTTCAGCCACTCTGGAAAAGTTTGTGGAGATTCTTAAAAAAAAAAAAAAACTAAAAGAACTAACAGTACCACTCTAGGGAATTCTTCCAAAAGATTACAAACCAGACCAGGATACAGAAAAGCCACCAGCACAGCCATGTTCATTGCTGCACCATTACTGATCATAACCAAGGAATGGAAATTGCCCAGATTCCCTTCAATGAGAAATGAATCAGAAAAATGTGATATATAAATATATATGATATACATACACACACACACACACATGGACATACACATAAGATGGACTTTTACTCATCTATGAGGAAGAGTGATATTACATCATTTGCAAAGAGACAGACAGGCCTGGAAAGCATAATGTAAGTGAAGCCAGTCAGGCCCAGAGCGACAAAGGACACATGTGTTGTGTCATACTGAAATCTAGAATAAACTTATATTGTACAAGAAAACACACATGGGTTGTATGTATGTGTACACAATGTATTAACTGAAGAATGATGTTTGCAGTGGAGAATTTAAACAGTGTAATTCCTTAGAAAAACAAAATCATAGTCCCACAAAATGAATCCCACTTAAAAGGCCTGGGAAAGAGGGAGACAAATGAAAAGAAAAACAGGGATAGAGGCAGTTATAAAAATCAATGCATAGCCTGTAAAATTAAGAAAAGTGGGGCAAGGGGTCAGATTTGGGGGGAAGGGAGAGAGGATACAGGGGAGACATCGACCAAGATATATTTTACTTATTTATTGAATGGTAACTCCTCTGTACAACTACTTAAGGATAGTAAAAATAAGCCAGGTGCTGGTGGCTCATGCCTGTAATCCTAGCTACTCAGGAGGCTGAGATCTGAGGATCACGGTTCAAAGCCAGCCTGGGCAGGAAAGTCCGTGAGACTCTTATCTCCAATAAACCACTAGAAAACTGGAAGTGGCACTGTGGTTCAAGTGGTAGAGCACTCGCCTTGAGCTGAAGAGCTGAGGGACAGCACTCAAGCCCAGAGTTCAAGCCCAGGACCAACCAAAAAAAAAAAAAAAAAGATAGTAAAAATATAAGTAAACAAAAAGCCTGCATCTAGAGGTATGTAAATTTACCTCTTACTCCTATCAAACTCCACATGCACAAAATACCTCCAAACCATTGTCTTGTAGCATATGTGCTCATCTTCAGAGAATGTCTCTTTATTTCCTAGATTCAATCACTTATTTTTAAAATAAAAAAACATTTCAAGATAAATCCTAATGCCCCTGCTGCTGTTGTGGCAGTGCGGCTGACACTCGAGAGCTGGTGTTAAAAGATCAGATTAAAAGCCTTCAGTCCTGGCACCAAGTCACGCCTGCAGCCATGCAAGAGTGATTTTCCATGCCTCTGAAGAGACAGGAAATAGAATTCATCTTCCTCTAATAACTTTCCCTCCTCCCCCCTCCAGATCAAGGTCCATCTGGCCTCAGGGAAGAAGTGAGGGATCTGATGCTCACAGAATGCCCTAAGAGGAAACAAGGTAAGCACTGTTCAGAAACAAAACATCAGACAGGCTCTGATTTGCCAGAACACCTTTGTGGCCTGTGTGTTCAGAGCATAAACACACATCTTAAAAAATCAGGAAGAGCAAATTAAATCCAAAGTAAAAAATAAATGATGCATGGAATCATGGAATTAGGCTTAAGGAAACCTTCACCCAGGTCATTATATGTGAGTTAAGAATGTCAAACAAGAAGCATCAACACATTAAGGAATTAGGGAAATTGTGAGAGAATGGCGCCAACTCTTCCAGCTTAAAGCTGAAGAAAAGGAGTTGCTAGTTTCTCCCCATGGCTTTCTTCTACAGGATACAACTTTCTCAGCAAATCAATAACAGTCCAGCCTTGCTCAGCTCCACTACCATGACACATGCTGTCCTACTGGGCTTGAACACACAAGCCATGAGGGAAAACAACTTACTGGCTAAGCAGCTTCACCAACACCAAAACCTCCTTTCACTTCTGAATATAATCCACAGATGCTGTAAAAAGGCCACTGGAATAAAGCTGACCCAGTAATTACATATGGGATGTATGCCTGCCAATGACACCCAAAACATAATACCATTCTCCATGGATACCCCTAACTTTTCCATTACTACCGTCGGTCACAGCTCTGGAGGTCACATTCTTCCTTCTCTCTATCTATACAAAGCAGAGCCGCTTACAGTAAGAAACACTGGTCTAAATTAGGCCAGGGGCAACCAAGCTTCCGCTTCCTAAAGAAACGCAAAATATGGCCAAGCATGGTGACTTTTATGCGTGTAAATCCGCTCCCTGAGTTGAGGGCCCACATGGGCTAAACTCATGAGAGCTTGATGACACAATCAAAATACACGGACAAATGTGACTCCTATCTATATGCCCTGCCACTTGAGAGATGGAGCTGGCAAGAATCACCTGAGGCCAGCCCAGTTATCGAGGTAGTGAGGTTCCCAGCCTCATCTAAAAACCGAGGTGTGGTGACACAAATCTGTGGTCCTGGCTGGGCAACAGGGTTTAAGTAGGAGGAGTGAGATTCTAGCCAATCTCACAAAAAATAGAAACAAAGAGGGCGTGGGTTGACCCTGGCTCAAGCAGTAAAAAGCTTCTGGAGCATGCGAGAGGCTCTGAGTTCAATTCCAAGGACTGCGGGGCAAAAAACGCAAACAGGCCTCCAGGATACTCTTATTCATGATGCGATCTAATCCAACCACAAGCAAACCCAAAGTAAAAGCAAGTAAATGAGAATATTGATGTTGGTTTCCTGGTCACAGCTAGAGGGGGGGTAAAACAACTGGTTATCCAGCAGAGTATGTGTCTTGAGGAGGTTATCGAAGTACGTGAACATGAGTGTATCCTTCCCCAGTGTACAGCCAGCTAAGGATACTACATGTACTCAAGTCTACCTCTGTTCAGACAAAATAAAAAGACAGTGATAACCAATACACCTATCTTCCTACACATGGCAAGCTCAAATATGGCCTGCATGCCAACATTAGCACAGGCCTACTGGCAGGTAGGTAGCTAAACAGCCCTCTTAAAAAAGCAGTGACAGGACACACAGAAGAACTGAAAGGGGGGGGGGGGGGGGGGGGGGGGGGGGGGAGGGGGGGTCTCAATGCTGTCTTGGTCCCAACACAAAGCACGCTGTGTCTGTGTCTGTGACACATGTGGATATTCCATTCGTTACAGTAGTTCTTCCAGGATGCAGATGTAGAGGCAATCTACCTGAGCAAATGAAGAATTCTGACATTCGGAAGCAAAAATTCTCTCTCTCACTGCCAAAAGCAAGCAAGCAAACAAAAAAGGGCAGGGAGCACAAGGCGGCCACCAAGCACTAGAAATGCCACACCTCATCCCAATCTGCACAGATCTGTAGAGAGCACCTGGTCTGGTGGGGAGCAAGACAAAACTAGTGGTGTGCATGGGAGGCACCAGCAAAGCACGAGTGCCCTGTCAACAAGGCCTGGTCTGGAGAAAAGGGACACTCAGAGACACAAGGCCACTCAGGTCACCTTGCATTGCTTTTTCCACAATGAATAGAAAATTTATTCTGAGACTTAGTCAGGTAATAGTCAATGATTTCTCAGAAACAGCCAGCCAAAAGTTACATTCAGTTGCTCACTACTTTTTGATGTATCTTCTGCCAACTATGACTGTTCAATGACAGAAATGTAAAACATGCTCTTATTTTGCTAGTAATTTTTCAAACTTCCCTATTAGATGACATTATGACAAACAGGCATAATGCTGAGCAACAGCATATCATACTTTAACAACTGAATTTTGCTTAGCGCATTAGAAAATAGTCCCCTATATAAACACACTTAAATCACATCCCACTGAATGTTAATAAGGTGTAAAAGTTGGAATGAGAACACTGTATCTTAGAAATGTAAAATACAGACACCAAGAAACTGGCAAGGCCAACGTCAGTTCCACACTCTTTGCTGCAAAATCACTAAAATGGCAACTTCAAGCCCAATGCCTGAAATCAACTACCTTACCTCTTGGGACAGGAAAGGAATGACTTGTGCACAGATAGCATTCAGCCTCTTGACAATCTCTGCCTGCAGGGAAAAAAAAAAAAGAGAGAGAGAAAGAGAGGAAAGCAATAAACAGAAGAGTCAATTGATGACAGATTCTCAAAATATTAACAGGATAACTTTACAATACGCAATATTCTGGCTGGTGTTATTTTCTATGGAAGAAGAGAACAATCTCATCAAATAGGTCCGTTAAAAGGAAACCCAGATAGCAATGGCACATTAACAGCAGTTTGGTCGCCAACATTCCTCTTTCAAAGATTAGGTTTCAAGTCTTCATCAGTACCCTTTGCCTATTCTCATGTTGTTTTTCCTAACACTCTTTACGTCGTGAAGAGTTGTGATAATAAACACACAGTCTGCTCTCTATCCCAACTCTCTACTACATTTGGGGACTTTGCTTTGAAAACATCTCCTGACCCAAAGGAGCAAGTTAATCTAGACGTGTGTGTGTGTGTTTATTCTGACTATACTTGGCAGAAAGCAACATGAAGTTATCTAAAGACTAGCCTTGAGTTGAAGAGTGTAGGACAGCGCCCAGGCTCAGAGTTCAAGTCCCACGACCAACCAAAAAAAAAAAAAAGAGTTCTCTTCCCTGGGAACATAATCTTCATTCTGTATATGTGCAAAAAAGTACCAAGTACCAACAGTGTCAGAAAACAGAATTTTGTTCTGTGTTAATGGGGAGTGCAGGTCTCACTATGTGTAGCCTTCGCTGGCCTGAAACTGAGGATCCTTTTGCCTTGGCCTTAGAAGGTATGGATTACAGGCGAGTACTTCCCATATCCAGCCAGAAAGAAAAATACCACCACTATATTTTCCTTTTTAAAAAGGTACTCTGCCTTTTAAGTGGCATGCTACATACTTTTTGATAAGTAGACAGTTTTTAATATACATACACACATACATACATACACACATACAGAATATCTTATATTTGAATGATGGGGCAGTAAAAAGGAGAGGTAAGAAGCGTTAAAAGATAGAAAAATGTAAAGCAATTACTATTCCTGAGGCATTCTTAAAATAAATTCCATGCAGGGTCAGTTCCTCATTTCTTCTGAGGACAAGAGCGTCTCTTTTTCAGGCTAGCTCAAGCCCAGGGTGACAGCAGCACCCTACTTACGCAAGGAGGCTTCCTTCTATCAGCTGCAGCCCTTCTGACTTTGTACGTATGCAATCTTTTAAATGCCAGCACCTTACACACTTTGCCCGCCAACAGAAAACACCAATTCAACCCACAGTTTCAAAACCTAAGTTTTCCACTTCAACCTATTCTCCTAACGGGACAGACAAAAACCCAGCGCCAATAAGCAGTGGTGAGTAAGGACCCAACTGTGCTGACCTGATTTAATTTACTGCCGGGACCCCATGCAGCACTTAGCCGTCCTTGAAGAATGCTTAAACCACCATGAAAAGCTGCAGTGGGAATCACCAAACCACTCTCCACCTGGACGAACACACCACAGTGGTTATGGGGTGAAATTCCAGGGTGAGCTGAGAAAATGAGTACCATTCTGCTGAAAGTCTGTCTCAAAGGCATTTGGTTGTTCAGATGTTTGTAGGAAGAGGTGGAGGGGGAGAGAATAAAAGATAATGAGACACTTTGGGGCAAACCAAACTGATGATTCTAATGCTTAGAACCATCTGCCAAGCATATTTTCCTCATTATGTTGTTTACATAAATAAAATAGTCCCTTGCTAGGAGGGTTGAAAAATGTGTGGGCATGTAAGAAAACTGAGTTCCTTAGTTTGCCTACATAATGAAACTATTCAGGAAACTTACTCATCTGATAAAATAAAGACCAAAGAGTTATTTGGTTCCTTAATTTTGGACCTAAGCTATTTTAAGTCTCAACAACTAATGAAAAAAAAAGTTTAACCTTTTCTTAAAGACTGAGATACAGAGGAAAAAATATTAATACCAGAAATCATCTATGTTGATACATATACTGAATAGAACAAAAGGGTGACTCTTCAAACTTTATTTAGAGGTCTTCTTAATTTCTCATAGTTGTCACACCAAAGGACTTTTATAAACAGGCTAATTGGCGGGAGGGGGGGGGAGGTGTGTGTGTGTGTGTGTGTGTGTGTGTGTCAGTGTATGTGTGTGTGTGTGTGTGTCAGAGAGAAAGAGAAAGAAAGAGGAAGAGAGGGAGATCTTGAGATTTCATAAAATTAAGCGGGTCATTCTTCACTTTGAAAGCTAAAGTTGCCTCGGAAACACTACGGCTTCCATGGTCATCTAATTTTGCCTCTTTTGTCCCAGAGGACACAGGCTTTAGGGAGACATCATTTATTTACAGGCCTTTCCACTGGGCTTCAGCTATCAGCCAATAATACTGTGGACACACACTTCTAATGGCCTGTGTTTTGAAACTGAGTCTAATCTAATGGCGTGGGGCCCAAACTCCTTTTCCAGCACAGCCATTAAAGGATGTAGGTTATTGCTGTTGTCACCATTGATATTTGTCATTGTAATGTAATTAGGGCCCTAAAATGATGCATTACAGCCCTTGGCACAGCTTCTATTAAAATCTTTTCTTCTGCTCACTGAACTGCGACCTGCTTTCTGATGAATAACAGACAGACAGCTTTAGGGTAAGGAGCAGATTCATCAAAGAAGCGTTTTTCAGCATTGGAAAAAGAAAGGGGAAAAAGGCAACATAGAAGGAACAGCAGCACTAGGGAAAGAAAAACCATGACACACAGCTGACTTTCTTCTGACCACTTGAAATTCTGATTGCATCTGATGAATCTTGCTTAGACAATATATTCCCAGCCTTTGAATCACATGGTTAATGAGGGCTCTAATCGGCTATCCATCACCCTGTGCCAGCTCTGTAGCTTCCAATCAAATTTATAGGTGATGTGGGTCATGCATCCCTGAGCAAATACATTCACAGATAGATAGTTCATTTAAACAGAGATTCTGAAATAGTGCTGTTAGAATTACGGATGTTATCATGGCATTTGATGCTTTATGGAGGCTGTTAAAACTAGTGCCTTTAGATGTCCATGATATTCCAAAATAGCAGTAATGGCTACAATAAAAGGACAATCGTTCAGGCTGAAAAATAAACAAAAAAGATCATTCTGGCAACCCTACTTTGTCAAATACTCGACAATTTTGGACACTTTCATTATGTAGCTTTGCCGCCAGTCATCAAGATATTCATTCAAAAAGAGTGACACTTGTTTAGAAATAGTTAAGTTACACACATATTTTCACTAACTTTCTATTTCTTTCTCGTTTACTAGAAACTATTGTATGCCAATAAAAAGAGACAGTAAAAAATGGTAATTGTCCCTACTAAAAAAGAAACTTGGTTTTGCCGAAATCTCTTAGAAAATGGTAATGACAACAAAAAAAAAAAAACAAAAACAAAACAGGAAACTCTTGGCTGTGTTCAACATCCGGCAGGTGAATGTTAGCAGGGTAAGTCACAAGTGGACATGGGCAGTGGACATTAAACATGACCACTCAGCAACGAAATGGGCAAACCCTGAGAAGAAGCCTTCAGCCCCACGCCACGCTCTTAATACTCAAGGAAAGTTGGAATAGTCAGTAACTACTTCACATCATAAAAAGCGATATACACTGAAAAGAACACCACAACTCAACATATCAAAAAGTAACAAACATTAAAGGACCCCGTATCACACCCACACACGTTTCCTTTATGATATAGTCATTTAGGGAGAACTGAGGTAGATCTCTGTTTGAATCCCAGCTACATTCCCCCAAGTGGGACCTGATAACAAAAATCTAATTCTTATTTAGATTTTCTGCCTATATACTTTCCTGAAAAAAACTATTTTAGCAATATATTTGAGAGAAAACACAATGAATTTCTTTTAGTAATCAAAACTGTGTATCAAATTGTTGGGTTTTAAAAAGGTTCAAAGAAGTTTTAGCATCTTATCAAAATCTGAACAAAATTACTATATATGTACTATTACAATAAAATAGCAAAGCATTATTGGGGAACTATTTGGGAAAAAATACACTTTCAGAAAAACATTCTTGAAAAATAACATTTTACCACTAACTTGTATTCTATACTAGTACTTTATACTAGTTTTTTCACATTTTTTTCAAAGAATCAATGCACTTTAAGTATTTATCAATCACATCCCCTCAACTCTTGTATAGAAAGAGTCCTCAAATGTGATGAAAATAAATAATTTTGATTGGTCATCAATTTGTCTCAAATTCTCTTAGAAACTTCAAAACTACTGGAATTGATCATACCTAACTCAACATTTAAGTCAAAGGACAAAAATTTCTTTCCATCTTACTAATATTCCAAATTAAATATAATGAAAACAATTCAAGTACTATAATTGCTCTAAACTGACACTGGTTTGGACAAGGGAGACCAAAGGCCGTATGTTTAAGGCATGATCACCCGCCTATGGGACTACTGGGCAATGACAGAAGCTAGGAAGTAGGGTAGTGGAAAAAATCTAAATCATACAGCTTGCTCTTTAAGGGGATGTGGGACCTCAGCCTTTTCTCTCCCTTTTTTCCATTTCCCAAAGGTGAGAAGGTCTGCCCCACTAAATGCTCTCCACTGTGACTTATTACCTTGCCAAAAGCCATGGGTTGAAATTCCAAAACTCTCCAACACAGTGAGAGAAAATGACTTTCTTTCTTTTTGAGGTACTAGGGTTTAAACTCAAAGACCTGTACTTGCTAGGCAGGCATTCTATCACTGAGCTTTGCCTCTAGAAAACCTTTTCTGTTTTAAGTCAGTTAACTCAGGTATTGACATCAAAATTCATTTTCAGCAAACAGATGAGAATATCTAATGGTTAAAACCAAGTTTATATACTTAAAAAAAAGAGACTAGAATAATGCTTCTCTAAGAAGCTCTTTAGATCAAATGTATCATCAGCACTACTAGAAAGAAAGTTGGTACGCTAGATAGCTAAAAATTTAGATTAGGTGCATATTTTGTACAAAATACTTAATATTGTCTAATGAAAGCAATAAATAGCATTATAAGAATAAGTGTTAT